TTTGTATTACATTCTAACCATTCAATTTTTAAACTGAGGATGTTCCAATAGGAATAAAAACATTTGTGTATATTAATATTTTGAATGCCTGAAATAAGTACAGTGGACGATTGGTTAACAAACATAATCTGTTCTAAGACTTTGTTTGCTGTCTGAATTGTTCGTTAACAGATTATTGATTTACCATAGGTTTTTATGGGAATTTGATTAATTCGTTCTGGATACCCCAAAAAATAAAAAATATATACTTTCTTACTACATTTATTTATATGTAATAATAAAAATATATATATAGTCTTGCATTTTTATCAGTCATGTTTTTTCTGTTTGTGGGGGTTAAAGAATCTGTCTAAAGTCAATTGCTTTTCTATCTTCTTCAGGATTTTTCAGAAGTAATTAATAGCATTGTAATTGTAGACATCCCCAAGCCTATTAACCTGAACTTGGTTTGGATGCCATTCTAAAACTGTTGTTCTGATATCCTCCTACTTCTTCAAAAGATCTTTAATAGCAGATGTTGGCATTAAACCTCTTTTTCAGAGAAAACATATCTCACTGTGTTTCTTGGTGTTCTTCATTCAAGAGTTCTTGGCATTCTTCTGTCATCAGATCAGTTTCGGGTTCTATTATGAACTGTTCAATGTTCTTTATTTTTCAGATGTGATTTTTGTTACTCCTTTAGCTGTCTGAGTCTTCTTGATTATACAGTATCTTTCTTAGATAAGATTGAACTACAACCTACTATAGACCTGTTCAAGGCATACTGCCCAGCAACATCGGACATCTTCTGTCCACACCTTTGCTATTATACTCTCACTTTTCAAAAATAAAACCTACACAAAACTTAACGAGTGCCCGCCCGACAGTCTTGCGAATACAATAAAAGAATTGTTACTGTCAGAAAAATAAAAGGCTGGAATTACAAGAGAGAGTTTCAAAGTTCAGAGGAATACTATCCGATTGGTATATACCAGGTTGAGCATCAATGTCAACATCTCTTGCACTCCGAAACATTTCGAAATGTTGCCTGAAGACAAAGGAAGACCAATCGGTATTCACTATTTTATGTCGCTTCTTCTTGTGTTTGTTATGTGAGGTGTTCGTTGTCCGAACATAAAAATCTTTCGCGAAAGTGTTCATTATCCAATTTGTTCGTTAACCGATCACCCACTGTATTAGAAATAATAACTTTTATTAAAATCTTATAACATCTTTCTCACAGAATACTAAAGTGAGCTGCTATCTGTATTCATGAAAGTTTTGTTTTTAATTTTAAATTCTCTAATGATTTCACAGGTTATCCAAATTTAATAATATATAAACAATTTAACTGATAATAACTTTATATATTTTTTAACTTGCTTATACTCATAGGCCTGGTTAAATTTATATAATAATTTAATCAGGATTAAATTCAATATTTCTTATAATTTTTCACAGATAATTAATAATTAAAAGACTGATTTTAGATTTCCTTTACAGGAGTGCTGTCTGACTGTTGTGGCTGTTGGCATGAAGTTTTTTGCTCTTTGATTTGATTCACTTTTGCTTTCTTCTGGAAAAATGTCAGAGTTTTCGTCTCAGTAAAGAAAAACATTTTTGCCACTATCTCAAGATGGATCACCACAAAATGTAAGAAATGTCTCAGGTGAGTCAACGGAGCAGTTGATCTTGTCTTATATAAGTGCCAAAAAGGAGATTAACATTCAAGAAGGAATTTGACTCTTGTTGAAACTGCAAGTGTCTTCAAATAGTAAATTAGAAACACTTTTGAACTGTTTAGACAGAATGGATTGAGAATATAGATACAAGCATTGGTAGATGTCGAATCTAGGCTATCTGTCTTTGAAACTGATAGAAAAAAAGGTTAAAAGTGACAAATCAAAACACAGAAATTACTGTAATCTGTAATTATCTGCATGAAAAGTTAATGAAATTACAAGATAAAGAAAGAAGGAATGATATTGAAATATTAGGCATAGAAGACAACAATAAATTGGATCATTGTTCAGTTAAGGGCTTGAAAACTTTTCAAAGATAAATTAAAGGTTACAGATGTCAATATTAAACATGCTTTTAGAATTGGAAAATTTAAACCATTGGAAGCATGTTTTCCAAAATGGAGTGTGAAACTGCCAAAATGTGTATTACTGGGCACAGCATCTTCCACAATATATTCAAAATCCATAACACAAGTTGTTTTAAACTAAATGTCTGATATAGTATCTGGAATGAGCAGGTTCTTGGTCCTGTATTTATTGACAGTACTCAAACTAGTGACTACTATCTTAACATTCTATAACAGTAGATGAATAATTTGATGACTTGCTGTTGAAGCAACAGTAGGAGGTTTGGTATCAGCAGACTGTGCAGTAGCTCATTCCTGGACAAATATATCAATAAGGTTTGCCAACTGATGAATAAGACAATGCAGTTCTGTTCCATAGCCATATTTTGCACACTTGACCCTTCCTGTGTTTTTAGAAATGATACATACAGGATCTATATTCCCCTAAACTCTAGGAATCTATGGAGATAAAAGAGGGTGACATGGAATGCATTAATATACAGAATGCACATAGTGACAAGTGAGGAGCAAAATTTCACTAATGATATTATCTAAAAAGGCTTGGGAGGAGATACAGATGTACTAACCATATGTTTAATAGTACTCTCAGCAAATCTCGATGGAATATTACAAGGAGGGAGAGAAAAAATAGAGATTGCTAGACTGATCACTTGGCAATCCAGTATGAATGTTTTAAGAAAGGTTTCTGGAAGAAACTTGAGAGGAGGACAAAGAAAAAAAGAAAAGGCAATGGTCTATAATGCTTCTCTGAGAGAAGAAAGAGGAGTGAACAAATAAACAAATCTCTTAATTAACATGTATTTTTGATATTGAAATTAATGAAAAAAAAATTAAACACAATGTCTCTATCTTGTGTTTAAAACTACAGGTAACCCCCGTATAACACGGCACTTCTATAGCACGGATTCACTCTAACACGGTTCGAGAATTGGTACCATCCCCCGTATAACACGGCACTTCTATAGCACGGATTCACTCTAACACGGTTCGAGAATTGGTACCATCCCCCGTATAACACAGTACTTTTATAGCACGGATTCACTCTGACACGATTCGAGAAATGGGTAAAACCCTCGTACAACATGAAATGTAATAAGTTTTTACATACTTAAGTACTAATAGTTCATGAAAATTATTATTTTCGTGAACTATTAGTACTTCAGTGCGTAAATTTTCTTTTCTCGTCTCCATAAACATGGTCCTTCGCGAAAATTGTTTCAATTTTGCCATATCTCGACGCTTCTGCTTCTGATGTTGCCAGATGTTTTTCCCTTATTTCATAAGTGCTTAGCACCATATAAGGAAATTTATAAAGATCTTTTAACTAGAAGCAAGCAATCTAAAATTACATACTTTTTGCAAAAGGTAAAGCATGAATCTGAAAATAATGCAGAAAAATGCTCAGAGGATAACGATAACTTGCCAAAAATAAAACGCTCTCGGTTAATAGCTTTTAGTGATGACAAAGAAAACATTGTTTAATTTATATTAATATGTATCACTTAAGAAAATTTTAATAAAGATATTTAACTTAATTATGAAAATATAGTAGCATGTTTTTTAATTTTTGGAACCTAACCCTCCTTTTCGTACTAGTTCTTTGATTCGCATAACATGGCAATTTTTTGGAACGTAACTACTGTGTTATACTGGGGTTACCTGTATTTCACATTTATTTATTTAAATCACTTTAGAATAAAAATTCAATAATAAAATTCCTTATACTGAAACATTATGATCATAGAGGAAATGATTATTTTCTGTATAAGAACATCTTATTCATCAAATGACACAGCTATACTAATAATAATCTGGACTTTATCTTATAGTATATGATTACAGATATCCTGGTTTTATGTAATTAAAATATATTGATACTCATCTAACATACTAAATTAAACTCTGGTATGTATGAATAATCATAATCAATATGCTATTATCAAAATGTAATGTATTGTTAATATAAAAGTACGAAATACATTAAAATTCATACAAAAAAATAATTATTATTCACTTTTATAACCACTCAAAAGGAGCTTTTTTGGATGAATAAAACAAAACATTACATCCTTCAAATTTAACATTCACCTAAGTTCAAGAATTACTTAGAAGACAATTTTATTCCCAGATATATTATTTAAACACAGTTCAGACTGGTGAAAACGCCGATCCCTCTTCAGTAAAGGTACAATCTACGACAGCTCGTACCAATTTTTCGAGCCTCTCCAACATCAATCACAGTAACGATTCCCGAAACGAATTTCGAATTCAAAGGACACAACATTTCATTTTATTCATCCAAAAAACCCTGTTAACTGGTTATAAAAGCAAACGAGTATATCTGGCAAATATTGCTAATTTTAGCTTCGTATTAGAAATATTCTTCTTTTCCTCTGGCAGCCAACTATATTATCATCGATTCTTAATACTAAGATAAACGACTTCCAACAACTTAACACTGCGTTGAATAATAACAATCCACGAAAAACCTTTTCTTGCGAGTGTTATGTCACTATTAAATTCCACAACCTCGGTGGAGGTCGAAAGTACTTGTGGAATTTAATAGTGACATAACACTCGCAAAAAAAGGTTTTTCGTGGATTGTTATGATTCTTAATACCGATCACATTAATCGGGTATCCATTTGGAATCCTATTTCCGTAGCCATTTTATAACGATTACGGGCGTCTGCCGGATCCACACCCGTACTTATATGAAAATAGGGTCCTAAATTGACACCCAATTAACACGGTCAGTATTAAGAATCAACAATAACAAATACATTCTTAATAATAATAATAGATTTACAGCTATTTACCAAAACGTTTATATAGTTTAATTACTACTAATATTTATTGAAAATGTTGTAATTTCATTAAAAAATATAAAGAAAAATGTAGCAAATGAAAGAAATTAGACAAAAGATAAGGAGAAATTTAATTATTTAGCATTTGTGGCTGTAATATGTGTTTTTTTTAATATAATTTTCGCAAATCATCACACCATGTTGATTTAATAGCAAATTTTGTCGCAGTAATCTCCATCGATCTTTTAACATTTTTTTATTAAACGTAAGCCGTTTAAGTAATCAAATTACATATTTAATCGAACATCCAGTGGAATTTTTAATACGAAATCGTTTTATAACATCGAAAAAAAAAAATTATATTTTCGATGTTATAAAGGGAAGATTCCATGGGAAAAAAAAATGTTATATTTAATTGACTTGTTAGTTTACTGCGCCACGGACAGACAAAATAATGAATTTGATTTACATATTACAATTTTGTCTTACCAGAAGGGACGTAATCTTCGTCTGTCGAACTTTGTTCTTCGAAATCGGGTTCGGTTTCCATTTCTTCAACAAGTAAATATTTGAAAAATTTCAAATTGATTTAGAAATTTAAAATATCGATAGATATAATTTTTATTGACTCCCTGGTGGTTCTTTTAGGAAGCTTACATTTGCAGATGGCGTTAGTGCCAACTGCTATATTGGTTACCATAGTAATATTAAAAGAGGTAACGTTTGCAATTAACTTCTTTCGTCGGATAAATATGAATCCGTTTGTAAGTTTAAATATATTTTTTTGACATATTTTATGAATTATCTTTAAGAAATTCCCTTATACATTTAGTTGTATAAAAAAAAGATACAAATTATCAATATTTTTTTCTGAGTTTCATCTTAATTTATTCCTTATAAATCAAGAATTTAATATCAAATGAATTGACTTTGTCTTGAACAGAACATGCAATATTACATCTTTCTAACTGTATTTATATATATTAAGTTTTTATTTAATCTTCATTAAAGAATAATGATAATCCTTTAACTAAATATGGAATGGATATTATGATTTAAGTGTGTTACAATATGTAAACATTAATATTGTGATTTAATGGAATTGATGTTAAGTGTGTAAAAATTCCAATACGGTATCTTATATCGAATGACAGGTCGATGGTTTATTTACTTTTATAAATAATTGATAAATTATCGTCGAGTCGCAATGGTTATAGGTGCATTGATGCTAATTACCGTTTATAAAGTTGAAAATAAATCTTATTCTGTATTCTTTATTGTGATTTAATATCATGGTTATATAAACTATGTACTTAATCTCGATAATTGTTGATAATTAAAGCGTATAAATTAAATTACAGTTCATTTATAAGAAGTAGAGAATTTTATTTTCTGTCTTTGTGTACATTATTATATTTCACATGTAAAAGTTGTAGTGAAATGAGCGAATAAGATTCATATTTTTCCCATTAATATAACCGTAATAATAATCTATATTATTGTTTTCTATATATATTCTAATATATATTATTGTATACTACATTTTCCTAGTTAAATTTCTTATCCATATGTTGGTGTTGTTTTTTGTTCCTGATCGGTCAAAAAAAAACTTTGTTTAATAATAATTTCTTTTATATTTCAGATCTATAAGAGATAATTAGTTTCTTGATGATTTCTAAATAAAAATGATGAAATTATATATTTTTATTAATGATTTTTTTATATATGTTGTATTTTTTAGTAATATTTACTTAATATTGAAAAATCAGACTCGTCACTGATATATAGATTATCAGTTTTTATAAATCTTGTTTTGTACAGATAGTACTACAAACATTTTGAAAAAAGCTAACCCTATGCAATTTAATTGGGCAGCAATTTGAAAAAATTGTAGACCTATAAATTCCCACTGTTGTCCATCCTTCCATCCATTTGTCTTTCCTTAATCTTGAGAACGAAGTTGGATAAATGAAAGATGAGACCGGATATAGAAACCTCAGGGGCAGGAGGTCTTGATTAAATATATAAGAACTTCTGATGAAGTCATATTATTTCAATTCAAAAGTTTCTCCCATAAGGTGTTACAAATGATGGGCATGACTTTATTGATAAAGAAAAATTATGATGTACAGGGGCAAGCCACTACTAATTTGAGGTGGAAAGCACATATTTTACATAAAATACATTAATTAAATACATATGATTGTCACAATGCCAGGTTGCATGTTTTAATGTCACAATAAATAATTGCTTGTTTGTTATGAAATACAATAAATTATTTGAAAGGATTGGTTCTAGAAATCCTTCTTAAAATATATGGACCAATGTTTCAAGATATACAAAAAAACAAATTATTTGATATTGAATTTCCTTGGTAGCCTATATTTAGAGCTCACATAGAGGATTTCTGTCCCACAAAATCTGCCTGGTAGGTCAAATGTCAATGCAATTGTGAGGCCCTTCGCTATATATCCTTATGCTGCATGCAAGAGTTTCAATGAACTTTTATTCAAAGCATTGTTATCTAAAATATATTTCTTGGTTCTGTGGTTCTTCCAAAGAACTAGCAAATGAATTCAATCTGCATGTTTCAGATTAAACATTGCTTACAACACAAAAATATGCCTTTTGGATCAGACTGACTGAAAAGACAATTTATCTAATTCTTACTGACTATATAGAGAAAAAATTGAAGGGAAAAAAAAAGGTTCTGTAAGAGTACATTGAGCAGGAAGACGTTCTTATTTGAAAACCAGGCAACATTGTCCTATATGCAATAGTATGAGCCCATGAACTTGTACCCTTCTTATCCTGCCTCTTTCTCAAAAGCATGTAAGAAATCTGTCTTTGGACTTATACTGTTATTCTGCAAGTGTAAACTTCAAATGTTATGACAGCCCACAATTAGGCATGATAACAAATTACAGAAGCTAGAAGGAATGTCAGAAAATAAATTCACATATTAGAAATCAACTCCAGCAAAAAGTTTAACAAAACAAAAATCTTTTCAACTTAATTTGATAGATCTTCATCAGTTGAGTATTCCAAAGTAAAACATATGTTTTATTTTATTGAATGTTCTTTTTACTCAAATATGTTTTATTTTGGAATAATCAACTGATGAAGACCTATCAAATTAGGTTGAAAATGTTTTTGTTTTGTTAAACTTTTTGCTGGAGTTGATTTCTAATATGTGAATTTATTTTTTTATTGGGCATGATGTGTATTTTTATTGTCCAGACCAGTGATTCCCAACTGGTGAGGCGTACCTCTATTGGGAGCCACAAACATCTTCACGAGAGGCGCAAGCCAATATGTGCAATGCTATTCAGTATATGACTGATAAGGGAACAGCATGACGTTGAATTCACTGATTTTGGATCAAACTTGGTGAGGATGTAGACTGACATGTACCAAGAAGCAAGGCACTACACTCAAAATTAGAAGAGAAAATTAGTTGAAAATTGCACAATTACTTAAAACCTTTAAAATATCTATTATTTAAAAAGTGGCCAGTCGTTCAGTGGGGGTACGCCAGTTTCATACTTTGAGGTTGCTGTTTGGAATCCCATTGGTATTAATTTACGTTATTATAACTTTATTCGGAAGGAATAAACTTCTGGTTGTACACTATGTACAGATATTATCCATTTTATTTGTGCAAAATGCTGTAGATAGATATATCTGTATTTTTAGTAGTCCAATTATATTTTTCTTCATATTTTTAATCAAATCTTATTAGTATTATTTAATTTGTAATAAAAGGAAATAAATGCTGAATAGAGAGCAATAAACTCTTGTACATATGCTGGGGGAAGGTGCCATTGCATGGGAGTCCCGATAGTGGAGGGATACTGCAATGGTTGAGAACTGCTGGTCTGGACAAATGGGAACACATGCACAGAAGTCAAAACCAATAATTCAAAATCAGCAATTTGTGGACTTATATACTTACATTCTTCTTGCACTGACTCCTTGATTTGTAATTCAATAAATTATTAGAAAAAAGCTTTTTCCATGTGATTTTTGTTAGAATGATTGATTATTAAAAGTTTAATTCTTAGATAACTAAATCTTGAAAAAAGTAACAAAATACACATTTTTTTCTCAATTACCATTTAATAGTAATTGGCAAAAATTTAGCTTTTAAGTCTTAAAATACTCACTATTCCAGGAAATAAGAGAAATTCAACTGTTACATAGATGTTTACATTTAGATGAGGATGAAATAAATAATTTAAATAATATGGGTATTACATACTTAAACTAATAAATAAAATGATTTTTATTATATAAGATTGTTCTTTAAATCTACTTCCAGAAGAGTTACTTCTGTGCTTATAAACAAAATATAGCAAATGCTATGTCCTCCTTAACTTTAGCTTAAAAGCAAAAATCTTGTGGAACTTACTTGAACTTACATTATAATAACAATGATAAACATGAATACATGATGCAAAATATATAGACAATGCCAGGAGTTGCTTACTAAATTTTCTCTCTCTTCAATTAAGAATTTTAAAGTTTATGTAATTATTCTTTATATATTTAAAAACTTAATGCAAATATTTCTTAATTAGTTTTTTATAATAGAAGTCCAAGTATATTTTTATTGTATTTTGATTCTATTTGTTGTTTTACTATAATTTAATTCTAATATCAATTTAAATTTTGTTGGTTTTTTTTTTTCATTTAAAATATAAATTTGCTCCCAATTTTATTTTGTTGAATATATTTTTGTATATTGAACATAGTTATATAATTAAATTTAATTTAATTTAAATTACAAGAATCTTTTTGATATTAATTTTTCAAAATAACTAAAAACTTACACAAAAATATATAAAATTAAAATTATATTTGTTAGTACTTTTAATGAAATTATCTTCAGAGAAAGAGAGAAAATTGAATAATGTAAGTATTTTTACTGAATTGGTTTAGTAATTGATCCCAGAGTAAGTGAGTTTTTAAAAAAATGTAACATATATGAAAAAATTAATATCTTGTTTTCTGATTCATATTTTTTAATAAACTAGGCAATATTTCCTTTTTCTGGTTCAGTTGTGTTGAATAACTCCAACAATTCAGGAGACTATGAACATGAACAACAACTAGAGATCATGTTTGACTTTATACTAGAAAATTCTATGCGAAATCTCGTAAAACTTAAAAAAACTGTGAAAAAATATTCCAGACCTGTTAATAGATGTCACCAACTGTCTGCAAAGTTTCATAATTTGCAAATAATATAAAACAAATTTTTAAAAATTTAACTTGTCTTATATTTTGTAACTAAATAATAAACTTCAGAAATATAAAATTATTACTTACTAGTAATAATTTTATATTTGATTGATTACTATTTCTATATATACTATTATATATTATATTATATAATATATAATATATTATTGTCTAGTTTGG